AACTCCGGTCCTTGTGCTTGCGAAGCAGGCCACCGAACCGCTGAGCTAAATCCACGACCCTCAGGGTTTTTTGCTTTTTGCTATGTCAAATAAGTATGTGAGGAACGTTTTTGTACATAAATTATGAACATTTTGAAGTTCCCTTGGATAGAATCCTTGAGGTGAAAAATGCTACTTTAAAGAGTTTAAACATCTTTAGTATGCTTTAAGACAAAATGTAGTAGTAGAAAAAAATGTCCAAACACCTGGATCCCATACTCATTGTCATTATTCTAATTCGGTAAAACTGGCAGAAAAAAAATCTGCAGTATCTAAGTCACAAGCTTGTTTTATGCTTCTTCTTTTTTTTTTTTTTTTTTTTTTTTTTTGTTACTGGGGATTGAACTCTGGTCTTTGTGCTTGCAAGGCAGGTGGCGGAACTGCTGAGCTAAATCCCCTGCGCAATCTTGTTTTAATAACCAAATGAGAAACCATATCCTTCGGAGTCACCATTCTTCCTCAAGAATGCTTTCCTTGACTTTCCAAATTCTCACAGGTTCTATATTCACTTTTCCTTAATTCCTTACCACAATTAATGAATAAGCATTCAATTATTTGCACATTGTATGTATGTTCTCCAGCCAATATTAAGCTCCACTAAAACAAGCCTGGCACACAGTTGGCACTCAATAAATATTTGTTCAATGGATGGATGGATGGATAAATGCAATGAAGGCACTGTGTGAGCTGTAATTCAGAAAGAATTGCTATTCTAATTATTACTGTTGTTCTTCCTTTTTATTACCTCTTAGATGATTCTAGGCTTTTAGAGATTCCTTGCCTAAGGACAACTTCATTGTGTGGATTTAATGCTGTTCATACCAGGCAGAGGCTTGAGTACATGGCTGGAAGTGCCTGGTGAGAGCTGAGACTTGGAGAACCAAGCAATTATTAGTTCTCTAGACCAACATGCTAGGATTTAAGGAGATGTAGTTACCATTAGGTGAATACAAACAGTGGTCAGTAACCCAAGGAAGTCACTGATATGTGAAGAAGCAGTTGGATCCTGGAGGTCAAAAACAAACTAATGATAAATGGTTTGGAAGGTAAGGTTCAAGTGGGGGAACAGTCAGTGGTGAAGGATTAAAATGCATGGAAAAGTTAAATTCCAATAACCAATACTCAAAGCAAGAAGCTGTGAATATCATTGTAAAGCAAAGGGTGTGTGTATTCAGTGTTCCTTTATATTCTTCTTGTCAAAGCTAAATGTGGTATCAGGAAGCAATAGAGTCTACTTCCATGCACATGAGAAAAGGAATGGCAATAGCTGGTTGAGGAACGAAAGCTTTGAATATGAGTAGTTTCCAGTAGTGACAGGATAAATAAGATCATTTGTGTATATCATTTTATATTTGAAACACAGTTTGGGACCAATCAAAGCTTTAGATTTCATAATTTTCATCTTGATTTTCAATGGCACTTATTAGAACATAGTGATTAAGGTCATGGACTCTGAAAACAGGCTAGCAGGGTTCAAATTCCAACACTATTATTAGTTGTGTCTTTTAAACACATTACTTCAACTTTGTGTCAGTTTCCTCATCTGCAAAATGGGGATAATGACAATATCTATTTCAATGGGTGATTGCGAAGACCGAGTGAGTAATGTATGTAAGGAACTTAGAACAGTGCCTTTATTATTATTATTATTATTATTATTATTATTATTATTATTATTACACATAAGATCAACTAAAATGTTAAAAAGTGGATTAGATACACTGTATGTTAATTTTATCTAAAATAATAGTGTCCAAATATGAATTTTTCTCATAGCAATAAAATTTCACTTACAACTAAGCATAGTTGACACAAAACTATGAGCATTAAAAAGTTGTAAAATTTACCGCAATTACCTGTTTATTCTGTAAAAGTTCCTACTGAACACAATCTTAAAAAGTTGTACAGAATAAATATATATTTTGCAATATCAAATGCACAATCAAATTACAGTTGGCCCATAAAATTTGACCTGTAAGTAGAAATATCCTATTGAATTTTTAAAGCTAATTATACTAGAAGCAGGAATACCTGAGTTGGCAAATTCCTTATGGAAAGTTCTGAACATGGGAAAGCTCGGACAGAGGAAGACTAGATTTGGAAAAGCCTTGATCTGGGGAAAAATTTGTAAGACCTGGACTATAGAATAAGATAGAATACCTGGATATTGCAGACAGTGGAAGACCTGGATATTAGAAGGCTGGTGCAGTGGAGATGTTGGAAGACGTGGATATTGAGCCTGCTGATGGAAGGCTGGGTAGCTGTAGGAAGACCTGAAGATGCTGGAAGATGTGGAGATGGTGGAAGACGAGCAGATGCTGGAAGCCCTGGAGATGCTGGAAGCCCTGGAGGTGTAGGAAGACAAAGAGTTGATGGAAGACATGGCTTCACTGGAAGACAGGTTTCTGGAAGACATGGCTTTGTTGGAAGACATGACTGTTGGAAGACATAGATTTTCTGGAAGACATAGCTTTGTTGGAAGACGTAGGAAGGCTGGAAGACATGAATTTGTTGGAAGACGTGGATTTCCTGGAAGCTATGGATTTGATGGAAGACATAGCTTTTTTGGAAGACATGGATTTTCTGGAAGACCCGAATTGTCCGGAAGACCTGGATTGTTTTGGAAGACATTGGTTTGCTGGAAGACTGGACGTTTTATGGAAGACATGAATTTTCTGGAAGACGTGGACTTTCTGGAAGACTTGACTCTTCAGGAAGACATACATTGGCTGGAAGACCTGGAGATTACTGGAAGACATGAATTTTCTGGAAGACGTGGCTTTATTGGAAGAGCTGGATTTAGTGGAAGACATAGATTTTGTCTGGAAGACAGGGGTTTGACTGGAAGACTTGATTTGGTGGAAGACATAGTTTGGCTGGAAGACGGAGATTTTTCTGGAAGCATGGATTGACTGGAAGACCTAGATTTGATGGAAGACGTAGATTTTTCTGGAAGACATGGGCCCACTGGAAGACATGGTTTTCTCTCAGGAAGACAGTGATCAACTGGAAGACCTGGATTTTTCTGGAAGACCTGAATTCATTGGAAGACCTGGATTTGGTGGAAGACACAGATTTTCCTGGAAGACACAGACTCACAGGAAGACGTTGAAATTGTTGGAAGACGTGGATTTTTCTGGAAGATCTGGATTTTCCTGGAAGATCTGGATTTGCTTGTGGAAGACAAGATTTATTGGAAGACATGCAGATTTGTGGAAGACATTAATTTTCCGGAAGACATGGATTGCCTGGAAGACGTGAATTTTCTGGAAGACCAGGATTGTCTGGAAGACCTTGAGGTTGTTGGAAGACTTTGACTTGCTGGAAGACCATGACACTGGAGCCATTGGAAACCCTGGACATTGGAAACATTGGAAGCACAGGATGTTGGAGACATTGCAAGTCTTGTATTTTGGAGACATTGGTTTCTCTGGACATTGCAGACTTTGGATACCCTTAACACTGGGATATTGAGTAGCTGAAGCCATAGACACTGGGAGCCCTGGATACTAGATGCATTGCAAGTTCTGTACCTTGGGGCCCCTGAGAACCAGTGGGTATAAAAAACAGAGGACCCAGACATTTACAATTCATAAAATCAGAAGGCTTAAATATTAGGAGATACTAGGAAACCTGAACATTGATATATTCCTATCCAAAAAACATAGAATTTAGAATAAGTTTTAACAATGCTGGAAATCAAGGAAGTTGGCACCTGTGGATATTAGATCTAGTTATTAATATAGCTGGATGTTAAGAGACTTGGTTATTTCAGGCTATGGTGATATTTGAACACATGAATGTTAGAAGGCCAAGTATTTAGAGATACTGAAATACTTGAACAGATATTTTTAAAAAGACACAGTAAAACCAGGATGCTGGAGACATTAAAAGATATGGGAAATGAATCACATAGGTGCTATAAAATATTGGACAAACTAGACTTGGATATTATGAAATACATAGACTTTAGAAGACCTGTGTATAAGAAATATTGAAGAATTTGAACTGTAGAAGATTTGCAAGTTATAACTCTGAACCCTGAAAGACAAAACCTGGGCCTTGAAAACTAATGGAGATATTGGAAGACATAGACAGTGAATGTCTGTAACATTGAGGAGATTAGGAAACATGGACATTGGGGATACTGCAGGCCAGAGTCTGGAAGATATGGATGTTATAATATAGGAAAGCTCTGGCAAATAGAAATGTTTTAAAGTGGTGAAGCTCAGAAGACCTGAGTTGAAGACACTGAAGAATGGAAAGGCCCAGTCTTAGAGATATTTAAAGTCCTTGCATAGAGATGTCAATAATATTGAAAAGCTTCTGTATTAGGATCTAGATATTATATTAAAAGAAAAACATGAGTCTATTGTTGTGACTATAGCATCTCTTCTACTACAAAAGCAAAATACAGAAGAAGGACATTTTAAGAAAATTACAAAGAGGAAGCAGGGAAATTCAAGTAAAAAAAATATAATTTGGTTTAGAACCTCTCCTCCTAGTCTCAATGAACTAGTCTTCTGGGAATTTATGGGTTGACAACAAATAAACAGTATATAGGCTGGGAGAACTATTTGGCTCTATATGAAGGTTCAGCAAATACTTCTGTAAAGGATCACATGGTAAATATTTAAGGTTTTGAAAGCTATACAGTGTCTGTTGCAACTACTTATCTCTTACTATTTTCATACAGCCACAGATAATAAAGGTTTAGAGATGACTGTGTTGCCATACAACTTTATTTAAAAACTAACAATTAGATTGGATTTGTTCTTTGTCCCTTACTTCAACAAGCCCTGGTCTAACTGCCAAATCTAGAGTATGGTAAACTTAAACACATTCCAGACTAGCATCCATATGCAAGAGAATGGAGAGCATTTCATGTGATGTGATGTGACGAGGAGAGGAGGCTGGCAAGAATCTTAAGAATGGAGTTTAGATCTCCAAGCAATTATTTCAGGTGCCCATATAAGAAATTTTATATTGAGAGCCAAAATTCAATAGGTTGTGTTCAGAGGCTCAACTAAGAGGGCTGAGGGTCTGTAAAGATATCCTAATGTAGTAGAAACTGGAGGCTTAAGAAGAAAATGAGAGAAGATTCCCTCCCTGATTGGGCGTACTTGCAGGGCAATAAAAAAGAGATTATAACTTGTTAGGTATATCTCAAACATCTTGGCTTCAGATAATACACAAATTTTTTATCTTACCTATTACCAAAGTGTAAGTGAAATATTTAAGGGATCAGAGTTGACCTACAGGCTAAAAGAGCCCTTATTACTTACATAAGGCTGAGGAACTCAAGGGAGTATCAAATACAGTACATGAAAAAGGACACAGGTAACAAAACTGGTAAGGTACACTGGGATTGATTTAAAGATCAAGCAGTGAAATATATAGATGAAGGGCAGTCACTGAAGGTTTTTGAAGAAGGGAGTATCTGGATGAGAATCATACACAGAGGAAGTCAGTCAAGCAGCAAAGTCTTGAATGACAAAG